ACCTGCTCTACCGTCAGGCGCCTTCCCGCTTGAGGTTCCCTAACCCTCCCCCTCCGTGAGGCACCCTATTCTCACCCTACTGCAAAGTCTTGCCCATGCAGCCAGCATCCCACCCTCAGCTGCCTTTGTCCAAAACTCAGGTTCTTTCTGCCACTCACCAATGCTGTATGAATCCAAATTTCTTCAGAAAGAGACCACAGTATCCTCAAAGCAAAGCAAGTCTTAATCTCCTCCTTGTACTCTATAAGGTTTAGTGTCATTTTGAGAAAAAAATCAAGCAATGGGTAGTCCTGAACTTGGACCCGGTCCTACCTCTGCCAATTAATTAGTCAAGAAGAGGTAAGAAAATAAAAAATAATCATCTTCTACTAAATAAAGCAATGACTGCCCTAGTTACCTTTGAGTAAGTTCAAAATATGGACACTGATGATTTTAGAAGTCAGTCAAGGAGTCAAGGAGCGACAAAGTGCTCCCTCAGACATCACCTCAAAACTCTTTATCTAAATCACTACTTGACAGAAGCCCTTGGTCTCTAGGACACTGCTATCTCATTGATAAAATGATGGGCTGTGTTCTATGACAGGTAGTGTAGGTGAGTGAGGCATAAGACTTCTGGATCAGGAACCCTTTTTGAGTTTTTGTTATGCAAAAAAGCACCAACCCACCTCACTCTGTACACAACTTTAGCAAGTCCTCTGTTCTGGTGGCTCCCCCAGACACACCAGAGACCCCTCCCTTTCCAAGTAGCAATCACACGAGTTAGGTATTTTAGTATTACTATATTCAACATATATTTACATATAACATTAAAAGAGATGCGTGCAAAGCAGCACCAAGAACATGCACTGCCTCAAACAGCACTTAGCATATAGCTAAGTGCTCGGTAAATGTTTGTAAAATGAGTAAAATATTTGTATGCAATGTTCTATAATTTTTTAAAGCTATGTAACCCTGTCAATTCTCTAATTCAAGTCTTTCAAGCAGGTTATTTAAATGATAGCTCCTTCAGCCAAAATTTAATGTAATTTATCTTTATCAAAATAAAAGGTTTTTTATTACTACTCTGTATTATCACTTTTTATTACTACTGTATATAAACTACTTTAAGTCATTTCCTATTTCTCTGCTCAACAGCTGCACTCGTATAACTAGACTTATTTTTTAAAAAAGATTGAGAATTAGAAAAATCAAATTTAAAACCAACCAAACAAAAAACACAGCAAGTCACTAAAAAGTTCCTAGTTTTATATTCACCCCTTTCAGAAACAAGAACTTAAAAGTGTTCATATTTTTATTTTGTTCTTATTGCTTTTGTTTTCCAGGTTTTACATTAAAACAAATTGCTTATATTAAAGCTCATTTGTTTCCCTGCCATAAAAGCTTAAACTAGAAAATTGAATAATTTTGTCATTAAGAATAAACAGGAAGTACCTACCAAGCAGCTTTAGGCTCACAGCTATAACTCTATAGACATCTAAGTTACCTTTGGATCTACAGAAGTATCTAATTTTTTTGTACTTGATTTGAACCCAGTGCTGTCTCAGTCCATGAAATTAATTCTTTCCACAATTCTGGTCACCTAATTCGTTCCGCAATTCTGATTGCAGCCAAACTGCAAGCATATCTGTACTGCATGTACTAACTGCAGGCATGTTGGAAGCATGTATGGACTACGCTTGCAATATGGCTGCAACCAGAATCGTGGAAAGAATTAAGTTTGTGAAGCGAGGTACCACTCTAGTACATTCAATATAGAAAGAAGGGCAGGAAAAGGTAACGATGGAGAGTTCTGGTTTTACTGGTCTGGAGGTTCTCTGAGTCTCTGTGATCTAGATAGCAGATTTTCTTCCAGAATGTCAACCGTAACAATTGTACCACAACAGATCGAATACAGAAGCTGATGAGAAACGAGCTTTCAAGCCAAGCATTAAAGACATTTAAAAACATGCACAAGAATGCCAATTCAGGGGCTGGGGACAGAGGTCAGGGGTAAAGTGTGTATCTAGTATGTGTATGGCCTCGGGTCAATCCCCAACACCATCTTAAAAAAAAGCCTACTCATCCCACTAACACTTTTCTTTTCAGAATATGATTTTTCACTAATAATGTCATTTACGATAACAAAGTGAAAATAGCTCTTTATTCAACTGATTTTGAAATGCCTTTTTTTGCGTACTGAGGATTGAATCCAGAGCTTCATGGATGCTAAAGTTCTACCAATAAACTACACAACCAGCAGTTTTCTAATCCAGTAAATGTCAAAGTACGTAACCAAGAGAAATAGCTTCTTAGGGGTCCCTAATAATTTTAATTCTAAGGAAGAAACAGTAAGATCTTGAGGCCATAAAGTTTAAAGCCATTGGCTTGTGGCAATGGCCCTTAACCCCACTGAGTGACTTTATCAACCAAGTAGAACTAGACTTCGCAGTTCAAGCCACTGTATTAAACACACGAGCATGGTAGTATTTTAGGTGTTAATAGCACACATCATCTTATTACTCATTGCTGCTCATATTCAATTTTACACTGTTTTGAGAGCTACTTAATTTTGTGTGATTGCAACAAAATCCCACTTACGTGGACAGTGAACAACTTAACTCTGCTTTGAAGACTTAAATGTTTAGGTTACAATTAGTGTAGTCTTCCCCTTTTATATCATCACCACCCTAGAGTCTGCTGAAATAATTCGGCAGTAAACACAATATATGCATTTCTGAAAACATTAAAAGACCTTTAAAATTTGTCAAAAATTTAGCAGGAAGAAGGATACAAGCCATAATATGTAAGTCACCCTTTTCTTTTACATTACTGTACTTTTTAGATGGGGCTATGAAATGCGTCCACTGCATTTTTTACCAGAAAGTTCACTGACTGCTAACTGTAACATATGGACTTAGAAACAATCACAGTTGCCTAAAATTCAGGAACTGTTTTATATCTCTTTAAGGATACAACTAATCAATCATCCTCCCTCCAATCACCTCTCACTCCCCTGATGAACTCAATACTTGTATACATTTTTCAGCCTTTTAATAAGGTTACTGGACACAATCAGAAGTACAGGCACAGAGGAATGACAGATGCCTCTTGCTTAACTATCAAACTGATTCACGTCCACAGTATTTCAAAGCCCACACTCCGTGTGCGATACCACTGTGTTACACAACTTTTGCTCACTTTGTCACATGTCTCCTAATGTTGTCACCTCTCCCTGGCCTTCTGAGAAAGCTTGTGCTGCTGGTTACATACTTCAAATTGTAGATGTGTGTCCCACACTGCCTGACATGTAGTGAGCACCCAATGAATACAGGCATTTAGGGTGACACCGTAGTACTGAGGGGGAAAATACTAAATCAGAAATAAAGTCCCAAAGAGTTCAATAAATCAAAAACATGCAAGATGGTCTTCCCCACACACCTTCACCATTGTGTATTCAGGTCTAGTGTTGAGGTTTTAATGTGATACTCTACTGAATGGACATGGCAGAAAAGGGGATCTGTGGGGACAATGAAGTGCAAAACGTAAAGATTCTATCCATTAAGTCAAGGCTAGTTTACTCACATTTGTACTTTGTATATTTATTTCTACACTTCTATTTCCTAGTCATAATTTTGTGTCCCTTCTCTTCCCCCTCAATATTTTCCAAAGAAAATTTACAGCCCAAGAAGTTTCCTTTAGCCATTACCCACTCTTCCAGACACATCCCGACACAAAGCACACTAAGATCTATCTTAGAGAATTTTTAAAGTAACTACTCTCCACACAGAAGGGAGGAGGACCTAAACTCTTCAAACTGGAAAAACTTATGTAACTTTTCCCTAAAGTCCTAAGAGAAAAGTATCAAAATGGGAGGGGGGATGGCTCAGCTCAGCGGTAGAACGCTGTCTAGCATATGCAAGGCCCTTGGTTCAACACACAAACACACACACACATTACCATTAAAAATTCAAAGTCCCATTTTTCTCCATGTTAAAGATGGTCAAAATATTGCTATGTTCAGAAACAAAAGAGAAGAGGCAAAAATTACAGGATATTCTAGCTGAGTAGGAACTAAATTCTTACCCTCTATTTGCTCCAACAATATTTGAGAGATGCATTTTGGACACAGCTGTCCCCACAGCTACCTGGCAGATCCATGCACAGTAAAATGTACATCATACAATACAGATATAGCTTGGTAAAAAGGTAAACTCTATAAGCACATTGCCAAGTTCAATGAATTTCTTTGTCTTTAAGCATTTTTTTGTATGACCAGTGTAAGGCCTAAAATAAATTTAAGCCCAAGCTCACACTCCAAGAACAATTATGCAGAGGGCATGGTGGCACATGGCTGTGCTCCCAGCACTTGGGAGGCTAAACTGGGAGGTAGGAGGCTCGCCTTAAATTCGAGGCCAGCCTGAGCTACATGCTGAGTTCAAGGTCAGCCTAGGCTACACAGCAAGACCCTGCCTTAAAAAACAAACAAAGAAAAAGAACAATTATGCAAAGAAAACTAGATATAGAAACCTAGCAACTAAGATGCATTCAGAAGGCAGTGAATGTTTCAGGTAGAGGTAACACAAGACCACCCAATTCCACACACGGTTGATCTCTTATCTGTAAACCCCACATAAGATGAAGATAAAAATGAATGTTGTTCTAAAAGCTACATGCAACCAGGACTCAGAATGCAACAATGAACATTTTTAAAGTAGGTCTGAGCTCTAGATCAAAGTGTATTTCCAGGTGAGTAATTACAGCAAACAGCCTCAATTCCAAATGATACCCCTTCTTGTCTAACACGTTTTATTCAAAAAAAAAAAAAAAAAAAAAAGAGGGGAACCTATTGGATATCAAAAAAATAACCTTACACAAGAAAAAGGAAAAGGAAAAAGCCAGGTTACTGAAAGAGACGGGGGCGGGGGGGGCGGTATGTTTGTGCCCCAGTGTATGAAGAAGGGACGTACGCGGCCGCGCAGTGGAGGGCTGTGTTTGTGTGTGGCGGGTGTGGGGGTACTTACTGTGCCCGGCTCTCTGTCTGCTCCCGAGGTTACCAAGAAACGCACAGACATGCCCGTTCAGACACAGAGGCAAGAACAGAAATAAAAAAAAGGGGGGAATAATTAGAACACAAGCCCCAAACAGTTTTAAAAATGGCTTTTATTTATATAAGTCATTGCACATTCCTAATACAGTGATTTCCTGAAAATTACAGTATTTTGTAAACATAAGATTTACAGTTTAACCATACACAAAGCCTATTTTTTTATTTCTTGACAGAATAAATTACTTTTCTTCAAAAATTAGTCAAGTGCAATTCTGCCCAATATTTAATGCATACTAGAATTAAAGCCTATGAAACTAAGTAGTAACAGATGCAATTATCAAACCTTTCATTTGAACACATTCACTTTCAAATTTAACTTATTTCGCCCCATTTAACAACATTACTTTCTTTGAAAATTACCCAATTAAGCAGTTAACAGTTTTCCATAATACGTACAGGCCACTGGCATTAACGAGGCAGTTGCCAAGATGTCAAGATGCCTGCAATCTAACCAGACTGAGAAATCTACAGATGCCCACGGAAAGCCCTGCAAATGAGCAGGGCAGAATGGGTGTCCGTGGAAAGCTCTGCGACAGTTCCTCTTAGCTCACTGTTTGCTCTGTATAGGATGGGGCTCTTGTTAGCGATGCACACGTTTGCAGCACTGTCTGAGTATGAGGGCAAAGCCCTAATCCGGCTTGCCCGGCCTCTCACCTCTGTGGTGCTCTGCATCATGGTGCTTCTTGTCATCTTTCATTGTCAAGTGAGACTGCCCACTCAGAGCACTAGACAGCGCGAGAAGGCTGGCACTGCCTCCCAGGGGCGGGATGCCAGGAGGCTGGAGTCCCGAAGGGTGAGGCGTCAGGGGCACTGGGGGTCCGTGGCCGTGCGAGAGATGCTGAGCTTGCAACTGCTGCTGCTGTTGGAGGTGGTGAGAGGGGGGGAGAGGGAGGGGAGCAGGTGAGGTGGTCACAGTGAGGGAGGCAGCATCCAGGGGAAAACAGAATCGGGGGTGCAAGAAACAGAACAGGGAGAGGGACAGGGACACGGGGAGGAAAGGGGGAAAATGAGATTAGCGCTTTCCATTCACCACAAGCTTTTACCTCCTTAGCCCCTTCTCCCCACCACGTCTAACCCTCAGGCGTGCACTGACACCTCCCGGCATCACTCACCCTCTGACGGGGGTGGTGCGCATTGCTAAGCAAGTCTGGCAGAGTTAGAAAGGACCTACAGTTAGTTCCATTTCTAAGGGTCTCCAGGGAGGAAATCCAGTTGCCCCTGAATCTAAGATGCTGCAGGATTTCAGGACTCCTCTGGATTTCAGAGCCGCGAGGCTGGGGGAAGGGGTGTGCACTGCACAACGCAGTAAGCACACCCCAACCAGTGCCAGTTACAAGACGACTGCATCTCACCCAACCTTCCTGCATTCGTTTACCCCAATGGTCTAAGCAGACAAAACCAAAACGCACCAAGAAGAACAGGCATCCTGGGCCTCGACCCTTGTGTGTTACTCTGTCACCAAGTCCTCTCAAAACGTAACAACTATTGATATTCCTGTTTCTCAGAGGGAACCAGGGCTCAAAAGCTCTGGGAAATTGCTGAAGTCTCCCACTCAGCAGGAGGAGCTTCAGTCAATGGCCCTCACTGCTGCGTTCTTTCCTGTCCTAGCCTGCAGAGCTGGGCTCAGGGAGCTGGGCTTGTAAGAACCGGAAACCACAAGACGAAACAGTCTCCCCATTCCTTCCTCAAGTCCCCCACCCAAAGCCACCACTTCCATGAACAGATGAAAACACAGAGACCCAGAGAGATTAAGAAGCTTGACGAAGAAAGCAGTTTCCACTAGTCACGTGGGACTCAGACCAAGGTGACCCAAGTCCCTGTTCCCAATGCCTTTTCCACCACACCTCTTTGCCTCAGTCTACCACTCAACACACCCAGACCTTATAAAGCTGTTCCCATTAGCATGTTCACAACAGGGCTGTAATTCTTATCTTGCTGCCAGGCAGGTACCTGTGGGACATGCACGGCTGTCGCATTGGGTAGTTTTGTATTCATTTTATTAGTAAAAACTTCAAGGAAAGTGATTAGGTCCATTTGTCCCACCACTGGTACAAGGTGCCTGATGGGCCAGTCGTGCATATACCAGCAGTGGTTCAAATCCTCGGGGATGTGTTAGACAGAACCACAGCTCGCATATATTGCATTTACAAGCACGTTGCACGTAATGAGAAGGGAATCTAAGAAACGGCCCCCGCCTCATTCATCTGGACATGTCTCAGCCGTCCAGAGAAAACTGGCGTTTGATGAGACAGTAAACTGACTGACGCTCACTTTCTACGATGAACTTCAGAACATGCTCAAAGATTCTAATCCACACTCACTTCGCTGGGACTTAATTACTTGTTCCACTTATTACCCGCTTACATGAAATAAATATATTGACTCTTCAAGCCAGACCTTCAGTCATGTCCAGCCAGGCCACAGATTTCTACTTGAAACCCAAACACACCTCCCACCCAAGAGTGAGAGAAAGCAGCATCTTAAGTCATAACCGGCATCTACTGCTATTCTGCGGTACATGGTCCACCATTCCCAGCACCTTTAGAAAGTCCCGGGGAGTTGGCCTCCTTTTCAAAGTTCCTTTCAAAGATTGCCTTCTAATTAGAGGGAGAAACAGAACAGGGGCTGGGGTCACCATGGGCAACATTAATAGTATCCTTGAAAAGTATTTAGAAACCACTCATTCACCATTTGAGATCATAGTAACAATTTCTTTTACGCATAAAATCAACTTCCTGTCATCCAAAGACACTAATTCTTGCTGTCACCTTTTAAGAGCCCAGCAATGGTGAGACATAAAGCTGAAGACACTGGCAGCGTTGTCACAGTCCACTGGGCATGCTCGTTAGCACTTAATTAGCAATGAGACACCTGCCATGAGAAATGTGTGCAGAGGAGGATGTGGAGCAGGTCTGCCCCACCAGCAATTACTACCACTACGGAGAGTGTGAGCTGTGTCCAGCTTCTGGGGGAAATGCAGCGATGCATACACAAGCGAACTTGGTGGGGTAATTAAGCACAGCACTGATTAAGGGAAGATGAGAGGCTAAGCAGAGGGAAGGGATTTAACACAGGGTGGAAGACACTTCTCCCTCACCCCTCCTTGCATCTTCAGCTCCCTCCAAAATCCAGACTGGAATCACCACAAGAGTAACTATGGAGGTGGATTTTGGGTTCGAGCAAACACATACTAGGTGGTATCTGTGTAGTTTTTCTTTCAGAATCCCAATCAGCTTTCAGAAAGATGAGCTGGAAAGCTGACACTGAAATATTACTGACAAGAGGGGCTAGCTTATGCAACAATGGGCCTTCTCATAGCTGTGAAGTGGAGGTGTGTGGTTAAACCCAGCAGTTAGGCTAATAACTACCAAAGAAGACATTCAACAGCCTGACTGCCCAGAGCAACAACCCTTTCCACCCTGCTCTGGCTCTCTAGATCTCTTGAAGAAAGCTCACTATCCGTCATTCCAAGGAACTAGGTTCTGGGTTCTGCCTTTCCTAGCTCAGTCATCTTGAGAGCTGCTTGTTTAAAACAAAAGCAATACCTTGTCAAAGCACTACATAGCAATTAGATGGGACACAGCTGCTGAAGGCGCTGTGGTTCCAGGAAATGCGGATCCACTCCTGCACACTGACCTCTTGGTCCTGCGAAGCACTGTGTGTTCACATCCACTACCCCATGGGAACTTGCACACCCGAAGTGAAGACGTAGGTAGTGGGCTCCCACTTCAGGATGACACCCACTCAAAGCTAAAAAGCGGTCCCCAGGGCTCAGCACCAGAGTGGGGACTACACAGCATGGTGCTTCCCAGGGCAGCATTTCTCCTGTAATCACAGCAGTCCAGTCCCATTCCTAGCACAGGAAGGAGCCAAGCAATTCCCTTTTCCTCTGAAGCCTTAACATTTCTCTCCCTGCCCAGTATCGAGAGCAATTCTTTATATCCAGGAACAAGCACACCTCCACACCATCCAGCCTTAACAGCAGCAACACAAACTGGTTCGCAGTCAGCTCTCTTGATCCTGGTCCTACATCTGAAAAGGAGAACTTCATGTGCTCCCAGGCCTCTTCCAGAGAGGCTAGTAAAGAATCAAGCTTCCTTCGCAGATGAAACCTGTTTCTAAGATAAAACACATTTCTTTAAATAAACAGAAGGTCAGTACCTGAAGAGTGAGACGGGAGCTGCAGAACAGGGCTGCTGGCACACTTCAGCCCCAGCTGCCTCTGGAGAACATTTTCTCTCAATAAGGTTTACCTGAAGCCATATAGAACCCACCATCCTCACCAAAAGAAAAGTGCATAAAATCCACCTACAGAAGACATTTCAGAACAAGAGTGACACTGCCACGGCTATACGGCCAAAACCTGTATGTTACATCTGCCCTCTACTGACTAAAACCTGCACCGAACATTTGGAAAACTACATGTCTTCGCAATATGGCAGCAAGGAAAATTCACACTTCTGTGGAAATCGTTACTTTGTAATAATTAGGAAGCATTTTTAAAAGTTAGTGCTTATATTTGCAATAGCTAAAACTTGGAAGCAGCCCAAATGCCCATCAACTGGAGACTGGATCAAGAAAATGTGGGGTTTTTTATAAAATGGAGTACTACTCAGCCATAAAAAATGAGAAATTAGAGACATTTATAGCTAAATGGATGCACATTGAGGCAATACTCTCAAGTGAAATAAATAGGACACACATGTATAAATACCGAATAGTTTCTCTGGTGTGAGAAACTGAAAGTGTAATAAGGACTAAATGGATAATAGGTAATGTGAAATAGGAAGAAAAGGGGTAAAGGGGAAGGGGAAGTGGGAGGGCTAGGGGAAAGGATAGAAGGGAATGGGATTAATATGAGAAAATGAAAAACTGGAAACAAAGTCTTTGTAGATTGGGAGTGTTGGGGGTTGAAGGGAGGGCTGGGCAAGGGGGAAAATAAGAACCAAGAGAGATTATGTAAAGGTGCAAATTTCCAATGATGAATGTCATTATATTGTATACCTAAAATGTACCAATAAAATAAAGTTAAAAAAAAACCCAACAAGTCAGTGCTTCTGAGCTGGGCGTGGTGTGCACCGCTGCAATCCCAGCACTCTGTGGAACTGAAGAGGGCTCCAAGTTCAAGGCCAACCTGGATAATCTGGCAACTTAGTAAGACCCGGTCTAAAATTAAACATGAAAAGGGCTTGGGATGTAGTTCAGTATATGACCCTGTCAGTTCACAGTACTTTAAAAAAAAATGTTTACAAAGAATACTAAGGCAAAACAGTCTGTAAAACTCTTAGAAGAGACATGTCTGATGAGTGATGACAGTGTTTAGGGTTACAGCTGGCTTCTCAGGCTTTCAAACTACTACAGACCAGCGGTTCTCAAACAGAGCAATTTTACACCCGCCCCTCCCTGAGCCGGGGACATCTGGCACCATCTGTAAACGCTTCTGGTGTTGTAGCTGGGGCTGGGGAGTGAAATGCTACTGCACCCAGTGGCCAGAGGCCAAGGATGCTGGTAAAAATTGGGCTGAATCCCCAGTACCAAAATACTGATAATAATAATGATAATGATAATAATAATAATAATAAATCCTACACTGCACAGATAGTGCTCTATCACACAGAGATTCATGAAGCCAAAAATGTCACCAGCACTGAGGCTAAGGAAACCCAGTCAAGATCTAAGCGGAAATTCTGTCCTTACCTTCCTGTTTTGTATGCCACGTGACTCATCAAACTGTGGTTTACAATACACGACTTTTCAACATCCAAGCACTGACTGTACCTTCATCACCACCCGAGTCCCCTGTCACCACTCAAAAAATGAACATCTGCTTTCTAAAGTGGATTCCATTAACAACCTGGG